CCAACCCGACATTTCCTCAATTTTCATAATTTGAGCATTGAAAAAAAAAAATTCTCCTATAAATCAAATCTACCTATTCGGCTTAATAGGCTTAATTGCATCGAGGCAAATCACCAACCAGCTATGTCACCTGAAAACATTGATTATAGAGTTTAATAAAAAAATTCAAAATTTTCATGTTTAACATGTTTGATTATGTAATAAAGTTTTAAAAAATTAAAAAAATTTCATGGACTACTTATTTCATGTTCTGAAAGTTTCATATAATAACTTTAAAACATCAATTACAGTGATTAATAAATAATTAAAAATATTTATGTTTAATACAAAATTTTTGTACTTATAGGGAAGAATAAGAGAACATGAAAATATAAAATTAAATTTTATAATATAAAATATTAATTAAATCCCATGATCAATACTATTGTATAATGCTATTAATGAATATAAATGATATAAAATTAATTAAAATTAAACCCCTAACAATTTCATTCTCTACATCTTAGTTATAATGTCATTCGATATAATTCAAAATTTTAATCATGAGCAACGTACTATATCAAACATGGTCTAGAAAATAAAATAGAAATAAAATATGTGTATATAATAGCATATATAAATAAGAGAAAATTTATAGATATGATCGAGTAGCGTAGAATGTTGAACAGGTAATGTATTAGGAGGCTCGAGAATTCTATAGAAAATAACGCGATAAATTAAATAAAACAAAGATCGTGAAAAGTCTCAGGTGAATCACCTTGAGTTAAAATTATGATAACATTAATATTTTAATACAAAAAAATAAAAACCCAACCCAAAGCAACTCAGATTCTTCAAAGCAAATGAATTTATAGAATATGACTACTACAAACAAACATGAGAAATAAAATAAAATAAATGTATATAGCAACAGATATAAAATAGAAAAAAATATATAGACATAATTGAGTAGGGTGGAATGAGGAACTTGGTAATGTATTAGGGGACGACCCAGGAATTCTATAGGAAAATACAACAAGTAAGTTAACACAACAAAGTAGTGTGTGTTCTGAGATGAGTTTCCAAATAATATTTAGAATTAATATTTGACAAAATTTAATTACTAAAATAAAAATTTTGATATACTTTTAATATTAAATTATTTCAAAATTTATTGGTACTATCCTGTTATATATTAATTGATTTTGTAAAATTATTTCTAATTTTGGTATTCATTCATCAAAGAATTACTATTTTTTAAAAACTTTGTTATTAATTAATTACTAAATTAGTAGTAAATTTGACATAACTTGAAAAATAGAATCATGATCTAAATTTGAAATTTTAGTTATGAACAGATTTTAAAAAACTCAAATTTCAAACTTTGAAAATTTTAAATTACTAAATGTAAAATTCGATATAATTTTAGTATTAAATTATTTCTAAAAATATCATTAACAATTATACCCTTATATATTAAATAAAATTTTAAATTTGTTTCTAATTTTGGTATTCATTAATCAAGGAAGTACTATTTTTTAAAACTTTGTTATTAATTAATTACAAAATAGTAATAATTTTGATACAATTTGAAAAATAGGATCATGATCTAAATTTGAAATTTTAGTTGCAATTTAGATTTTTAAAAAATTAAAAATTCAAATTTTGACAAAGTTAAATTAATAAAATGCAAAAGTAGTAAAAATTTCAGTATTAGATAATTCCTGAAAATATCGGTACTAATTATTTCGTTATATATTAATTGATTTGGTAAAATTTGTTTCTAATTTTAGTATTCATTAATATTGGAATTACTATTTTTAAAAAATTTTTTATTAATTAATTACAATTTAGTAATAATTTTGATATAATTTGAAAAGGTAGGATAATGATCTAAAATTGAAAAAATTGCTGCAATTAGATTATTAAAAAATCAAATTTCTCAATATTTCTACAAGTTGTATTAGGGGCTGTTTGGTTCGCTATTATAAGGGGTGGAAAACTCAGAAAACCCCCCCACGTCAGATTTTTAGCCCTCCACGTCAGCTTTTTTGTTTCCATCCATTTCTTTGTGCCGCTTTGGTTCGCTTGAATGGAAGAGGGAAAACTCTGCTGAAATCGCCGCCAACTAAGATTTTTTCCCTCTCTGATTTCCTTCCCCAACCAAGTGAAATTGATGAAAACTCTGTCACGTCAGATTTTTTTCCTTCTCTGTTTTGTTTACAAAAGTTTTCCTTTTTTTTCTATGCGAACCAAACACAAGAAAAATAAATACATTGGTTTCCCACCATTTTTTATGTGCGAACCAAAGCAAAACAATCTATTTCTTGGAAAAGTTTGGAAAACTCAAAACTTGTGTTTCTTTACATGGAATTGCATTTCTCTGTATCAAGGAAACGAACAAAACAGCCCCTTAATTTCAAAAAAATTAATAGAAGATATTTTTAGATATTCTAAAAATAAAAACAAATTAATAGGAAGAAATATCTTTGTTGATATGAAAAAGTAATTCAAAAATTAGACAAAATAATTCAAAAATTAAAAATATGAAAATTAGTTATAAATTCGATGCATATATTAAAAATTAAATTGTTTAATAATTCTTACATATGAATATGTAGTGTTCGGCGATGTTCTTTGGATGATGATTGAGGAAATAACTGTGAGGATATGAAAAATATTAAAAGTCATGGATAAATACATATTTAATGCGGAGAAGCTCTAAAAATTAAAATCGTGTAACAGATTGCTTAAAAAATTAAATAAAATCAACAACCATATAAGTAAAATTATTACATAAATATTGAAAATAATAAAGCCAATAACGTGAAGAGTTCTTACTTGTGAGTATGTAGTAGTTGTTGATGATTTGGAATACAATTGAAAATAGGGAGGGGGGGGGGGGGGGGGGCTGATGTGAAAATAGTATAGAAAATAAAATATTTCAAGAAAAAAACCAATTAATGAAAATTAAAAGGGGAGGTTGTCAAGAAACTCACCGAGATTGAGGGATGATGGAAGAGGATGGTGGTGAAAAGCTAATTGGGATTTTTTTCAAAATTAATTTTGGTAATATTTCTATTTTTTGCTGTTTTTTTGGTTAGTTTGTCATCAAGGTGAAAATTATGGGTATAGTTCCAGAGAGATTTTAGGGATTACGTGAGGGGGGGGGAGAGAGGAAATCAGTGCGGTTGGTTATTTAAAAAGGACGGTGAATATGGAAAGTTCAATTTCTTTCTAAATTTTGGAGACGGTAAACCGTAGATAGGGGTCTACAAAATGCAAAAGAATTAACAAAGAAAAATAGTGATTGATTGATTGTATTACAGGGATTTGTAATATGAGAGAGATTCGATGGGTTGTTTAAAAACGGATGGTTTATATTTTTTTTTATAGATTTAAATTTTTTTGTGCTATGAAGATGGACGGTGAGGATTTAGGACACATGTCATTTTTATTTGAGAAGAAAAATGATGATATGGCAAGCTCTGGGAGGGTTTGTAGCAAAGGGGTTTGGCGTAAGGTATACATATAGTAATAGAAGGAAGTGAGCTCTGAATACCTCGTGGTAATACTTGATATATTATCCACTAATGGATTATAAATAAGTGGATTATATGTAAAAATATTTGATAAATTTAGTAGATTATAATTCGTTTTCAATAGTAAAGCGTTTGGCAAATGTGTAGCTTATAAGTCATCATTCTTGTCAAAATGACCAGAAATCATTTGATGGGATTGGAGAGGGATAAATGAAGCTTGGAATTTTGTAAATTTGAGGGGTATATTGGACTTTTACTTTGTCAAACATTGCGGGTTATAAGCCACAAAAAATAAGCTAGGATACCCGTCTTATTTTTTGATGACTTATAAGTCAACTAACATGTCAAAAGTGGCTTTTAAGGAACAAAAATATCTTATCAGTCACTTTGACCACTTTCCAAACATGCCTCTTAATAGATGAAAGGGTGAAGTTACGTGTGCAAGAAATATTTGTGTCTGCACATATATCTATATCTATTAGGATGCAAATATGGTTACTAAATATCTACATTTGATAGGATATTGTTGCAGATTCAGATATGTATTGAAATATTCCGATCCATATCTAAAATCTCTGAATATATGTTCGAGGTAACTTTGATGAACAAGAGACCTAGTGTTAGTTTTTCAGATATGTCAAACATATTAATAAACTCATGCAATGAAAGTGAGAGACATTGTTTTCTTTGTTTTCCGTTCTTTCTTTCACCGAGAAGTGGGTTTTGTTCTATAGCTAGCAATAATTTGGAAAACTTTACTTGTTACATAGCTCCAAATATAATAAACCTCCATTAGCTTACATAGAAAAAAATGTGTATGAAGTGACAACTTATTTAACAAAATGAGTTACCCATTTAACTAAATGAGTTACCAAGAGATAAATTATTTGTGAAGCCCACCCAACTAGTCACTTAAAAAATTATAGACCTCACCACTTTATTTTTTGACAGCTCATTTTGCTTAAATGAACTGCCACCTAATAACCATCCTTTCCACTTGAGTCACAATCATATTGGCAACATCTCAAACTGCAAACAACTTGTATACAATAAAATAAGTTTTAACAATAAAGGCCATACAATATTTTTTTTCCAAAGGTGAAAGTTTATAATCCCCTTATCAAATTACTGCAACCTTGGTAGCCCTCTACCAAGCTATAACTAGTTCAGTTGAAATAATATCCATTGGAACACTTCCAATCTACCCTCATCAAACCACCTCTGTATAATATACAGAAGAAAATAATAATAATAATATTCTTTTGTGGAGTGGTAAAAAACACGTACGAATTCTTACACATTCCTCAATATCCGAAAAAAGAACATTTGCACAACTATTAAAAAGAGGTGCAAACATAAATCAATCGATAGGTATCAAATCAATTCACAAATGACATATTTATGATTCAATTAAGAATCATACTTATGTCATGTATCATCATATTTGCATTTAGCTAGTTGCGATATGCAATGAACATCTGCAAAGCATAAAAGTTCTTATCGAGATGTCAAAGAAGGCATTATTGAGAAGGCATTGAGAGGAAGGGGGGAAAAAGAGATTCACTGGAGGTTAGATAAAATGGCGTAAACATCTCAACATTGGGATACAAGAAATTTTGAACCATATATTGTACATTTTAGGCATATATGCATAACAGTGGCGATTGGCGAATACAAGATATTTTAAGCACTCAGTGGTTTCGACGGCTCAACTGCCATGAAAACTGATCTACAGCTGCCATTGCCTGAGATGCTGAACCAATTGAACCGTCATACCTGTAAATATATCAAAAACATGAAGAAAGAATTTATTAATCAAGATTTTTATTTCCTAACAAAAAATATGAATAAATAGAGCCATCCTTAAAAGTTTCAAACTAATGTTTTTGTTTGTTCTCAGCCCTTACATTGCCACCAAAAGATATGCTGCAGTCTGCATAACGATAACACCTTCTCCAGCAGGCTTTGATGCATTGACACACCGAGCGCTAAACCAGTGATCATGAATTGATGTCACCAGATCTGCGATCAGCATAAGATAGTTATTGACATCATGTCAAGGTTGGAATTAGGGTTGAGGCTTCTTGTTATTGTTGTATATTATGGAATGAATGATGATGTACCGCAAAACAACCTAACACCAACTCATCTTCATTTTCATTTATTATTTATTATTCTTGCTTCAGCATAACCTTGCCGCATTAATTACAACAATGCCATTTTAAGAAAATGAGGTCTTAGTTAATTGGATATTAGCACTAGTCCTCTTGGTGAGCTTTGAGCATGAGAGGAAGTACTCACACTGGTTTGGTCCAATACAGAAGAAATCTTTCTGGAGGCTGTTTCTCTTGATAAAGTCGAGAAATGGCTTCAGCTCAATAGCCTTCAAGTTTGATCCTTCCTGTTCTGCTCTGCTAGAACCAAGAACCAACTATTACTGTTTCAAGCTTAAGAGCCAGAGGTCAACTCCTTTTGCTTAAAGGGAAACAATTATCAAATTTTAAGGTGGAATTCCATTTTCAGTATGTTACCTTGTTATATCCACACATGAGGAGCAAACATAATGATTATTTAGTGTAAAATAATTTAGAAAAGAAGAGAATCATGAATACATTACTATGAGGCTCAGGGTGTACATGAAACTAAGAAATCGTATCTTCACAAGATATAGTGCATACGTGCTGTCGCGAAACTAAGAGATTGTATCTGCAATTTACATGCTGTAGTGAACACATGAAATCTGATGAGGACAATAATGGCAATTTCCATATTTGTTATTTGACTTTCTTTTATTTTTGTTTTGAATAAGGAAGATTTGACAAGTTTGATCAGATCTTAATTTAGTTTTAATTGTGAGAATTTTGAGGGATTTTTCTATTTTGGTAGGGTTTTAATTTTTGAATTTTTGGACAAGTTTAGTAGTTAATCAGTTTTTAGTATCTGAGTGATTTGAGGAATCTGATTGATTTTGAGAGATTTTGTAATTGCTCTATAAAAGTACTGCTGTAATTAGAATAAAAGAATAATGAAGAATTGAATAAAATATTTTGTTAGCTAATTTTTGGTGTGAAGCTGAATGTTGGTGTGAAGCCTCGGGTGTGAAACCCTGGGCCTGAATCTTCTCCTCCTCTTCACAGCCACCAATCTCCTCTTTCTCAGCCGCCAACCTCCCACAAAAACGCCACACTCTCCCCTAAACCCCTCCCCCTCAGGTCATTCGACTTCTCCTCTCCAAACAGCCCTGTTCTTCTCCTCCATAAGCAGCCGTGCCCAGCCCTTCACCTCCTCCACTTGCTGCTGCCTCATTCCCGTGTCAGCGAACTTCATCGTCAACAGCCGCCGCTCTCCTTGTTTCTCAGTAAACACAGCGCAACCCCCTACATCTCACGATGCACCTGCCCCTTGTCACAACGCGACCCGGACCTTGCCATTCCCTGCGCCTCTTTCCCACTGCGCAGCCACAGCACTTCCAGCCGTGCTCCTTTTCCCCTGCCTCCATCTCAGGCGGCCGCCAAGGCTCGGCCTCCTGCACTTCTACATCATACCGCAAACCCGCCCCCTCTGCGTATTCCCTACTTCCAAATGCACTCGACCTGTCCCTCATCTCAAGCAACATCCTACCAGGGTCATCATATCGCCCTAGCCCCGTCGGCCGTCGACATCATCGTCATTCAGTTCGCCGCCGTCGTTGTTGCTCAGTTCGTCGCTGTCGTCGTCGCTAGTTCATCCGTCGACCGTCACCACTTGATAGCCCAGTAAATTATTTTTCTGTTAATCTCGTTTTATTCGTTAATTGCATGAATATTCTATCTCTAAACTCTTATCATATATTCACTGCTTAGATTATATTTGTGAGTTGAGAGTAATTGAGCATGTGACTGTTTAAATTTAATATTGATTGTAGAACTTGAGCATGATAATGAATATTACAGCTAAATTGATCGAGATTGGAATTAATCATAACTATTGATGCAAATTTCGTTAAATCTATCTGTCACATTAGTTGTTTTGAATTTAATTTCCTGCCAAAGATCATAAAATTTGGTGAAACGATGTATTATTCGATTTAAATCGCTGATTCTGATACACCCCCTATCCCGTTTCACATCATTTTTGGTATCAAAGCATAATTCTAGGTTAGAAATTTTTTTGATTAATTTAATTAAGTCTTTTATTTGATTTAAAATAAATATAACATTCATCTCATTTAGTTGTTAGTGCATATCATTCATCTCATTTAGTTGTTAGTGCATGCCCACTCACACAGGTCTACCCTATCGATTAGGAGAGTCTAGTGAATCGTCTAATGAGTCCAACATGTCAGGCAGTACAGATCCCGTACTCCTTAAGAGATTCGATGAGCTAGCAGGACAAATAGGTGCCATAGTCTAGGAGTGTAGAGCTACCCGTGAGGTCCTGATAGACTTCCAAAACGTAACCAACTAGAGGCTCGCTAGGCTAGAAGAAGCGCGTGTTGCAACTCCGCTTCCACAAGGTCAAGGTCATGGGCATCTCGTTCATCTACCCCCACCTCAACCTATGTCTGATCCACCAACTTTTGATGGTAAGCTTCGACCCACAAGTTTTCTTGGACTGGCTGAATAATATGAATCGCTACTTCGATTAGTACGCCTTAACGGAACTGCGAAAAATCAAGTTTGTAGCAATGAAGCTTACCGGACCAGCCTGCCAATATTGGTCCACCTCGAAATGTTAAGGTATATGAGAGGTGAATTACCAATTTTAACTTGACGAGAAATGGCCGACGAGCTAAAAAGAAAATACCTCACTCCAGTTAAAATTAATAAGCCGACTATAACGGAATCAAAATCTATTCTTGAGGAAACCGTTAACCAAGCCGTAGATTTGATAGAATCTAACTCTGACAAGAAAATCCGGAATAGTAAAATTAAAAAACCATGTACTTCCGTTTCTTCTAAAACTACCCTTGTAATTGTGGAATTAACTGAAGTTTCATGTAATAACGACACTCTGATTATTCCCCAAAATACCCATTTGATCACGGAGTGCACTGATGTTGTGTCTGAAGTTATTTCTGAAATTGAAACTCTAACTCCTCCTGAACTCACTCCAGTGATTGAAAACATTGTTGATGTTCCCCACGAAGTCCTCCCGGACAAACATGAATCTATACATAACACCCAACACGTTCACTCATATATCTGTATGGAAGTTAAATCCCAAACTGAGCATAGTAAAATAACTCTCATATACTGATCCATTTTTGGAATATATAGTGATTAGGGATACAAGTTTGAGTACGAGTGCTTTCATTGATATTCGACCTAAGCTTGACATTTTAGATGAACTACATACCTTGCAGAGTATTTCATTTCTCTCTTATGTTAAGCGCACAAAAACACTCCTCTTTCATGCATTACATACCTTGCAGAGTATTTCATTTCTCTCTTATGTTAAGCGCACAAAAACACTCCTCTTTCATGCATTTGTTTGCATGTTCTATGTTAAGCGCACAAAAACACTCCTCTTTCATGCATTTGTTTGCATGTTCCTCACTATCACTGTTAGAATAGGAAATTTGTTATGCATATTAACGAAGGAACACCTAATTATTCCATTTGTTAGAGGATGTCATGCATGTTAGACATTTCGTTGAGTTTACATTTACCATTAATTGCATTGTTCGAGTCTGCATGTCATACATAGTCATTTGAGTTGATTTGCATTGATCATATATTAGGGAATCGCTGATCTAATTTGAATAATACATCGTTAACTGAAATGTATAATATGGAGTCAGGACATAATTTAAAACTGTTAATGTTTGAGATGGTTTGGACTTGTCCAATACAGTTTCTTTTATAGCTGTTTGAGATTTGACATGATATTTATGAACTTTTCCAACTCTTGAAATAATTAATTACAACATTTATATTATCGATTTGGTCATAGTTCTATTCTCAATATTAATTGATTAAGCAGTTCACAATATTTATTGACAGTCCACTGATATAAGCCTGACCCTAACCTATTGTTTCTGAGAGTTCTTTCACTTTACCTCACTTCTATATATTCACCCATGTAACAATGAATTTTGATAATATTTTAGATGGTGAATTTACGATGCAATCTAGCTAATGATTTGAGATGCATGAAAGTAACTAACGACAGATTAAGATGCAGGCAGAATATATTGAAGATGATAAATTTCTGTAACTATCTCGACGGAGTCAAGTTTTCTCTCACCCGGGGAGAAAGATGAGGACAATAATGACAATTTTCATATTTGTTATTTGATTTTTTTTTGAATAAGGAAGATTTGGCAAGTTTGATCAGATCTTAATTTAGTTTTAATTGTGAGAAATTTGAGATTTGGCAAGTTTGATCAGATCTTAATTTAGTTTTAATTGTGAGAAATTTGAGGGATTTTTCTATTTTGGTAGGATTTTAATTGAGAAATTTGAGGGATTTTTCTATTTTGGTAGGATTTTAATTTTTGAATTTTGAATTTTGAATTTTGGGTGAAGTTTAGTAGTTAATTAATTTTTAGTATCTGAGTGATTTAGGAATTTGATTGATTTTGAGTGATTTTGTAATTGCTCTATAAAAACACTGCTGTAATCAGAATGAAAGAATAATGAAGAACCGAATGAAATATTTTGTTAGCTAAATTTTGGTGTGAAGCCGAATGTTGGTGTGAAGCCGAATGTGTGAAACCCTAGGCCAAATCTTCTTCTCCTCTTCACAGCCGCCAACCTCCTCTTTCACAGCCGCCAACCTCCCACAAAAACACCACATCCTCCCCTAATCCCCTCCCCCTCAGGCCATTCGACTTCTCCTCTCCAAACAGCCCTGTTCTTCTCCTCCCCAAGCAACCACGCCAGCCCTCACCTCCTCCACTTGTTGCCCGGCTCCTTTCCCGCCGTTCAGCCCAACTCCATCTCACACAAGCCGCCACTCTACCTATATATCCACCTACAAACAGCCCGCCAAAACCCCCTACATCCTTCAACGAAGTCGCCGTCCCTTGCTCCACAAAGCTGCCGACCTTCTCTTCCACCCTCCTTCCACCGAGCAGCCCCACCAGTACTTCCACAAGCCGCGCCTTCCTATCCCTGCTCCCCTCCATCCTCAGGCAGCCTTGATAGCCAGCCCCGCCTCCCTGCCACCTCTACATCAACCGCAAAACCCCCAGCCCACCGCCTGCGTCATTCCCTCTTCCGAACAGCAACCGATCCTGATCCCCTCTTCCTCCACAGCCGCCTACCCACGGGTCATCACATCGCTCTAGCCCCGTCGACCTCATCGTCATTCAGTTCGCCGCCGTCGCCAGTTTGACGCTGTTGTCGTCGCCAGTTCATCCGTCGAGCGTCACCACTTGATAGCCCAGTAAATTATTTTTCTGTTAATCTCGTTTTATTAGTTAATTGCATGAGTATTTCATCTCTAAACTCTTATCATATATTCACTGTTTAGATTATATTTGTGAGTTGAGAATAATTGAGCATGTGACTGTTTAAATTTGATATTGATTGTAGAACTTGAGCATGATAATGAATATTGCAGTTAAATTGATCGAGCTTGGAATTAATCATAACTATTGATGCAAATTTCGTTAAATCAATCTGTCACATTAGTTGTTTTGAATTTAATTTCCTGCCAAAGATCATGGAATTTGGTGAAACGATGCATTATTCGATTTAAATCGCTGATTCTGATAGACCCCCTGTCCCGTTTCACATCAAAATGGAACTGTATTCATTAAGATTTCTAGCACACAAACTATCATTTACCTGTACAGAAAATGCCAGTAGCAGATGGTTACTCTATAAAGTTTCAATTCACACTGATTTAGTATATGAAATTCAACACAGATGTCACTAATAATTCTAGCTCTGCCTTCGCTCAGTACTTTCGTTTTTTTATCCATACACTAAAATCTAAACAATTGTTAGCTCCCAGCCAACATACCCACGCTTTCACACCTTCTAGAAGTGTACAACAAAGTTCCGCTTTGTGCGAGAGTTTAAAAAGAACGCATACATTGGCAGAATACAACCTAACCCTGTAATTTACAGTAATCACCACAGAAAGGAATGTTTTTGTCTATACACTCGGATGCCCTTAGTTAGGGAAACACTCCATAAAACGACAAAAAGAACAACAAAGTCTTTATCCTAAATTTTGGTCTTAGCTGCAATCTACATGAGTCCTTTTTATCCATGACATTAGCAACTGATTTACCCATTTTGACTACCTCAATCCGTGTAAATACACTCCCAGCTTTAGCCAAAGTTGCTCTATTAGCTACCATCCCATCACTCTACTAACACTCATTGTACGTACTCATTGTCCTGGATATCCCTCATTTCTTCCTCACCCAAATATACCTGTTATGGATGTAACATTTCTCATCTCTTCTTTTAGCTCGCTGCAAGTCATACATGCCACACACAAATATCAGCTCCCTTGTTTACTGTTTTAACTGTTCAACAGAAATATGTAGGTGCGATCAGAAGGAAAAGAAAGATAAAAGAGAATTACATTAAAATCACCATCAACAAGCTGAACCTATCCAAACTTCTCCTTTCAGAGCAACAAGGATGCATTGACTTTGACACCAGCTACCCAATACAGCACCTAATCCAATCAGTTGCATGAGCTCTAGAATTCTGAGAGTAACGGTATTAGTAGTTCTAAGGTGTACCTAGAGTAACGGTATTAGTAGTTCATGTAGACTTAAGATCTCCTGGACGCTGACCTAATTAAGTTCTAAGGTGTACCTAGAATACCGTTTAATTAATTAGGAATGGACCTAGAGCCCCCAAATGAAACTTGGATTCAGTCAGATACAAATTTCAAAAGGATTGAATTGACAAAATCAAATTCTGTTTTTATCAAATTTGAAAAGGATTGAATTAGGAATGGTGCTCAATTGATCATACCCACATTCACCAAGAAATTCAGTGCAATATTCAGGCACCCATCCTTAACATTTTCCAACTGCAGTTACCAAATAGGAATCAAAATCGAGCTCCAAGTTCTAAGGCTGAAGCTAATCAGCCAAACCCGTATGCTATCATGTAGAGTACAAGGTTAACCTACATATAATTTACAGCTAATTAGTTTCACGACAAGACAAAGACCACTGAAGAATGTGTATAACCAACTTTTATTAAATTCCAAAGAACCGTCTCTATCTGAAAGGCAATCTGCGCCTCTGTATTCAGCAAATCTATTGACTGACTTCTGCAATATTATGACTATATCATCCAGTAACAGGAGAAAACGCAAAATATCTCACACCACAATGATAATCACTCCCTTCTTGTCCGTGTTAGTTCGTACTCTGACCAGTCATAAACAATGACAAGTAACCATCCAACTCGACCGCCGAATGAGTAGGAAATTTTAGAGTCTATAGTTTAATGTTTTCTCATAACACGCTCCATCAGAATATCAGAAAGCTAAAGCACTAAATGGGTCATTCTTCAGCATAAAAATTATTGGAAAGGTTGGCACATGGAACCCATTTGTTTTAAAAGGGTATAAGGTTCAATGCGTCATTTCATCAAACGCTAACTATGCATGAGTTCAGAGATAAAATACTAGAGGTAAGTAGAACAAATTCTGCTTACATTGTGGACAAGAGGCGAGAAGGTCCACTTGGGTCGTGATTAAGCAGCAACGCAGCTTTCAGGGGTTCACCTGATTCAATGAATGAATGCATTCCCTTAAAAGTGCTCAGTTTTATTTGCTAAAAAGTCTATGCAAATAAGTTCATGGGCATCTCACCATCTGAGCCAACATTGTGGGTTGCCCACTTGTCCCAAAGTCTATGCACCGTCGCCCAGTCCGCCATTGATCTCTCCCTCTCTCTCTCTCTCTCTCTCTCTCTCTCTCTTCCCCCCGCTCACCCAATATAAACGAACCGAACCGAACTGAACCGAGGAGGTATCGGGTTTAAGATTTGGTCTGGCTATCGGGTCAAAAAGATGTGAACCCGAAACCCGATAGCCATAGAACGGGTGAAACTTAGAGTGGGTCCCACCACCTGCTCCCAAATCGGGCTCAACGCTCAGAAACCCTAGACCGCTCGCTTTCTTCCCTCCCAAATTCTCGATGAACTCATAACAGGTCGAAGGAAAGCGAAGAGAAGAATCGAAAACGGGATGGCTTCCTTATTCAAGGTACGATGTTTTCCCCCCATCAAAATCTAGGGTTTACGGATCAAACTCACTGCGATCTCAAGTTTCGATATTTCCCAAATGTTTGAGCACAATTGCTCGATTTCTCAGATACCCAGTTTTCAGTTTTTGATAAAACTTTCTTCTTTAGGATCCGAGTAAGCTCTCGGCGTATAGAGACCGTAGGTTCCCTGGAAACCAAGAGGAGTATGAATATGCACTGCAGACATCGACCACTGTTTATATAGGGAACATGTCGTTCTATACGACAGAGGAGCAGGTCTACGAGCTCTTCTCGAGGGCTGGAGAGATCAAGAAAATCATCATGGGACTTGACAAGAACACCAAAACTCCATGTGGCTTCTGCTTTGTCTTGTAAGCATTAGTCTGTGCAGCATTATGCTAATTGTGTATTTTCATGAGCAATAAATATTTAATAAATTATCTCATTTAGCGTTTCAAGGTATTAATTTTAGAGTAAATGAGCAAAGTTGACTGGCGCGTTGCCGCGTCATCTGCGTGAAAACAATTGAAAATATAGTTTAAGTATTTGGCCTGAAAATACATTGTACACCTAATACTTTGAATAAAATAGCAAGTTATAGCAAAATCTTACAATGATACAAAACTACTAACATACAATAGTTTAAAATTAATTCTTTCAAGTATGTTAGATCCAAGTTGATCTAGAAAGTGTGTGGATCTAAAAGTAAATGAAGGTAAAAACTATTGGTTTAGAGATAAGAATTCTTCTTAAAAAGTGAGCGAGCTTAAAAATAAATGAGGCAAAAACACACACACACATCTATACTTCTACAGTTCACTATGTTGCGACATTAACATGGAAAATGCTAAAATATAATGGTTAAGACATCTGCTTACATAGTAGACCTAACCATTTACAAAAAAATAACTATGA